TTTAATGGTTTGACAGTTTGGATGAAAGCAAAAGTGACAGTTAGCATACCTGGCATGCCAGGAATGTAACTGTTTTTTTGAAACCGTTAAATCGATGGGTTTAGTTTCACTTTAAAAGTAAACATCTATTTACATCCTACTACATCAGTGTCCATTTAGGTCTGTTTTTAAATGGCACAAGGCTGTGTTCTTTTCCATTTATACAAATTTTAACAGATATACAGAGATGTAAACAGATGTTCGTTTATAGGCAAGAAACATATTTTTGTTTATACTTTTGTCACTAATGATTAGTTTCTTCAACAACAGAAAATTAATGCAAACACTGATGTAAACTGAACTGGATACGGAGGTAAGTTGATGTACTCTGAATCAGTATTCATCAGTTTCTTCTCAACAATAAATGTGATTGAACTGATGTCCGTATGAAAGGACCCTTAGCAATCAAGGATGTTAGTCAGTGTGAGCCACCTGTGTCCAAGCACACAAGGTACATTTGGGCTGTATGCATGTAGTGTTAGCTCACATGCACTCATTACATGCACACAGTGTACTAACAAGACTTTACGCAGCATCTTGTTCCCAGGGATATACACAAACCCTCACACTGAACCTAGATAAAAAATCATATGTCCAGATACATGAGCCCTAATGTCACATAAGAAAGGGTGGAGCCGGGTGACATTGATTGACAGCTGCAACCAGAAGTGATGCAGGAGCTGCAGCCCCTCTGTATATTTTGAATTGCTTTGAGTTTTACTCTTTTGTAGGTGCAATTTTAAATTAAATAAAGCAATTTTATTAACTACTACACTATGTGGGTGCCCATATGTTGTGAGCTTGGAAGGAGAGTATATGCGAACACTGGCCTGAACTCTTAAAGGGACCACAAGCCTCTTCTTCCTAATGTGATATAAAGTAGATATGACAGGTCTACAAGAGAGAATATCTCCAGAGGTACCACCAGAGTGACAACTGGATTGATCCCCAGATTGGAAAAGTGCATTTGACCTGATTCATACAGTTTGAGGTGAGTGCACAGGCACAGAGGTGGTAGGAGTCACTATACAAGACCTGACTATTGGAATGTATTGAGAGAAATCAAGAACACATGGTGCAAAAGAAGGGACACGAGAAGTTTACATATGAGAGGCTGTTGTCTAATACAGGATTACATATTTGATAATGAACACTGTAATGAGCAGCCACTTTATTAGGTACAGCTTTTCAATTGCTTGGTAACACAAATTACTAATCAGCCAATCACATGGTAGCATCTCAATGCATTTAGACATCTAGATGTGGTGAATACGACTTGCTGAAGTCCAAACCGAGCATCAGAATGGAGAAGAAAGGGGATTGAACCACTTGCCTACTGGGCACTTTTACCCCCTTCCTGCCCAGGCCAATTTTCAGCTTTCAGCGCTGTTACACTTTGATTAACAATTGCACGGTCATACAACATTGTACCCATATGAAATTTTTATATTTTTTATCACATAAATAGAGCTTTCTTTTTGGTGGTATTTAATCACCACTGGGTTTTTATTTTTTTTTTTGCACTATAAACAAAAAAAGAGCAAAACATTTTGAAAAAAAAAAAAGTTTTTCTTTGTTTCTATTATAAAATTTTACAAACAGGTAAATTTTCTCCTTCACTGATGTATGTTGATGAGGCTGCACTGATAGGCAGCACTGATGGGCACTAATACGGCGCACTGTTAGGCTGCACTGATGTGGTGACACTGATGAGGCGCCACTGTTGGGCATTGATGAGGAGGCATTGATGATGCTGCACTGATATGCAGCAATGATGGGCACTGATAGGCTGCATTGATGGGCACTGATGGGCAGCGCTGACGTGCAGAACTGCTGGGAAGCACTGATGGGTGGCAAAACTGAGCACTGATGCTCAGTTTGAACTTCAGCAAGTCGTCTTCACCACATCTAGATGTCTAAATGCATTGAGTTGCTGCCATGTGATTGGCTGATTAGCAATTTGTATTACAAGCAATTGAAGAGGCGTACCCAATAAAGTGGCCGCTGAGGGTATATTTATAAGGTATATTTATTTATTTTATTTATTTATTTATCGAGTTTATATAGCGCCAAAGGGTTTGCTCAGCGCTGTACAATAGAGGGGGGACAATACATGAAACAGAACAGTAACATGCAGGGGGTTAGAGGGCCCTACTCTTTCGAGCGTACAATCTAGGTATATATATTTTATTTATCCATAAAAAAACAAGAAGTATAAATAAAAGTATAAAATGTTTAATTTTGTTTTGGAAAGAGTAAGAGTTAAGGCCAGTACACACTAGAAAAAAATCAGACGAACGATTGTCCAGTTTTCCTTGATGTTTCACAGCAGGTGGAAACTGAGAAGGGTACTAATTGTACAAAAATTCTTGTACGACAAAGGCTTTTTTTGTTGTTTTTTTAGTTTTTGATCATGCGCAAGTCTTTCGTAACAGTACACATTAACCCCTTGGCGCCTCCCGGCCCTTTAAGGGTTTCAGAAGCCGGGAGGCGGGGTTTAGGGTCATGTAGCAAACGCGCACACAGAGATGGATGCGAAGCTCCATTTTGGCAAAGGCCTCCATCTTCTATCATTTTCAGCTCCTCCACATCCCCCCTCCCTCTCTGTTGAGTGACATGTGGTCTGGATAAGGCAGAGGCCACAGGCAAGTCAAGGCTCAGCGGGCGAGCTCCAGGGCTATAAAATGCCAACCGAGCTGGTGCCTAGATGTCTGTTAACTTCTCAATCTGGGATATCGTAAAGCCATAAACCAAGTCCTTCACTAAGACATTCCAGATAAACAGTAAACCAGACACCACATTCAACATCCATTTTCCCCTATGATTACATATCTTGGATTATGAAAGACTTATATAAAAAAACGTGCATATATTCAGATCGGTCTCGTTAATACAAGTCATCTGATATATTACATCCCCTAGCTGGCATCAACAGGAGAGCAGAACATGATATCTCCTTAACCATCCCAGCAGGTATGTCATATTTCATGCCTAGACGTTCAGCAGGGTATTCTGCGTATTAATCTACTAGTGGCAAGGCTGCTAAATGCACCAAGAATAGGTTATGAACCATGACATCAACTGCGAGGGTTTATGGTTCTAGCTTGGGTTTCCGCCCCAACACCCCTCCCCAAATGAAGCGATTGGTTCTCTTCTTTAAGGAGACACCCTGCTGAGTTCCTAGAGAAAGCTGAGCTTAGCTGAGTTGAACTAAGTTGAAGATTCTCCTTTTTAACATCGGAACTAACTTTGGGAGATAAGGCATCTTTTTGCCTCAGGAAACCTGATCTGCTTAAACCAAGGCTGACAGCAAGTACTTTTTCCTTCTAAACTTCTTTCTGTTATCTCTTTGCTGTGTTATTGCTCTCTGTATATTTATATACATATACATCTTTTTCTGTAAATATTTTATTGCACCCTTTTGACCTTTTAGTAATAAATCTTACTTTCTGAAAGTGTTGAACTGTTTCTAAAGCTCTTTATTGCAAACTAAGAACCCCTGCCTCTGAAAAGCGCTACTGTGTGTGTTTTAAACTTCTGTATATCTCTGCCAGTGGTATACCAACGCTTATGCAAACATCATAGTGTTATTGCTGATATTGCCGAGTTTCCTCTTTCTCTGTACAAAAAGGAGGTGGTGGCAGTGTGAAGGGTTAATTGCGTAATTAACCTGACCCAGTAACAATCGCTCTCAGGCTGCAGATACACAGCTTGTGGTCCATTAGCTGGAAAATCTTTGTGCAGAGTGCAGCTGGGCGTGGCATTGTTACGCACGTAACAGCGTGGTTTTAGATTGGCCGGTCCTTCGGTCACGAGTTGGTGAGAAGGGCTGGAGTCTGACGCCGTGATCGTCACACATGTGACACGCTGTCACCAGACATGTATGCTGGGAGCGCTCAGGGTGCGCGCTCTCAGCACATATGTTCTTTTTTAATAGAATGCAAATGTGCAGCCGCTCTGTGTCTATGCCCAGACGCCGGCAGGCCACACATTTGCGTTCGGCCAGCATGAAGAGGTTAAACAAAAATCATTAGCTCTCTTCCCATACCAGAAACATTTTGAAATTTGTCCCTTTGAAAATTTTCATTTGGAAAGTCTTGAGTCGGGTGTGAAAAGTTGTGTACACACTATACGAACATCGGACAATCGTGCCTCATACAGAATTTTTCTTCTGATTTTCTCATAGTTTGAACCCCTCTAGTCAGGTTTTCATTTCCCTCCGTATCCCTATTGGGGTGACTTCCCTTCACTTCCTGTCAGGACAGGAAGTGACAGGAGTGATGGTTACTCTCTTCACATTTTATAAGAAGGGTTAAAAGTGTTTTTTTAATACTGCTTGCACCCCCAAATTACTAACACAGGATATGAGGAAAAATATCTTTCCTATAGCAGCCGGAGATTAAACTGATAGAAACTGTATCCTTCCCGCTTTATTTAGGCTGGAGTTAGACTTTAACATGCAAATAAATACAAAAAACCAGCAGAGCCATCTTCATTAGAGCACGCCATTTATTTTAGAGCAGCTGACGTCACACCAGAGGGGAGGCCTTCTTCTCCTTACTTTGCAGTATCCGTAGCAACTGCATCAACGTACGTATGACGCAACCCTCCACGGCGTGGCCCCACCCCCTCCCCTTGAAAGGGAAATCGCAGCGTGAGGAGGGAATTCGTCACCGAGAGCCCTCCTACTCGTTCTAGTGATGTTCTAGCCGTTCGCCTTTTTTCATTGGCCAGACACAGGTGCAGGGAGGAGCGGATTGGCCGGGTAAACCTGAGGCCATGACGTTTCCGTTTCTCGCGAGATTCTCCGGCGTTGCTTCTTGCTTTTCCTCGTCCTGTGACAGCGAGATCTTTCGAGATCTTCCAGGGTTCCATTCATCTCCCCGTGCAGGAGTGTAGTGCGGCCGCTCTGCCGTGTCCCCTCCCCGTGTTGTACGCTACCGGTGTCCCCAGCTGCAGTCATGTCAGTGGTGGGCTTCGACCTGGGCTTCCAGAGCTGCTATGTCGCGGTGGCGAGAGCCGGAGGGATCGAGACTGTGGCCAATGAGTACAGCGACCGCAGTACCCCGTGAGTAGAGCCGGCGCCGCCATGCTGCCTGATCCTTGTCATTCCCTCTCATCGTGTCATCGCTGCTAGACACAGGGGAGGCCCGCGTGAGCCTTCCTGCCTGCTTTCTCCTCATTTCACACCATCCAGCCGCCATTCATATTAGCACATCATTATTAGACCTCCACATTGCCTCATTCCTCAGCCATAGGCTTTCATTCATATCAGGAGGTGAACCTCCCAATCCCTCTGCTTATCCCTCTCATCCACTAAACAAATTGGCTAGAAAACACAAATTAAAATGCTAGTAAACCCTCAAATTTTTTTTTATTTTTTTTTAACAGAGTAAACTATGTAATACTAGATTGTAAGCTCCAAGGAGCAGGGCCCTCCTATCCCTCTTGTATTGTTGCTGTATTGTCTCCCATTATATTGTAAACTGTTGGCGCTATATAAATCCTGTATAATAATATAAGAAGAATACATAGAAAACATAGTAAATCAAATTCTTACCCTCAACACTTCACAGCTTTCTGCTACTGGCTTCTGCTCTTACAGTGCTGCTTCCCTGAACTTCCTGGCATCACAGGAAAAAGTTAGTGTTACTAAACCCACAACAGTAAAATCAGTCTGTATATGCAGTAAGGCTGCATTCACACTTGAGCTTGATGCTCCAAAAACGCTCAAACTTATTAAAAAAAAATAGTTGTCTACGGTGCCTGTTCGCGTGATCAGGTGTGAACAAGCACCGTAGAGAACAATTTGATTTTTTTTTTCTAAATTTGAGTTCTTGTGTAGCTTGAAGCGCCAAAAAAGCTCAAACTTAAAAAAAATCGTAAAAAAAAAAAAAAAAATCACACATTGAAGTGTGCATGCAGCCTTAAGCTGCGGATTGTTACTCTCCCTATAGAACGTAGAGTGTAGTAAATTCTTAATACTTTTACCTCCAGCTAGTCTTATAATAAAGCTTACCTGTAGATAACATGAATATCTCCTAAATGTGAACTGTTTAGAAGATATTGGCCCGTTCTTGATATTCCTGCGCATGCGCTCTGAAGGAACTCCATACCCGTACCGTTCTTTCAGAGCACTGTGCCGTGGAATGGAACTCCCTGCGTGATCGCAGCTAAGACCAGTCGGGCAGCCAGAGCTTGCAAACCTGGAAGGAAGACCGGGTGAAGATGGAAGCCTTGGGGAGCCATGACAGCGCTCCACTGGAGGGCTTTGTTATATGGTAAGTCCTTTATAAAGTGCTAGTGTGCAATGCATACTAGCACATTATGCCTTTACCTTGCAGGGGTTTTTTTAATGTGTAGTTTACTATCACTTTAAAGGGTTAATCCTCTGCATTGTGTAAAAAGGTTGTTTGATCCTGGCTTCTCTGCTTCTCCCCTTCTATTGTCCCCAATCCATCTGCTGATAGTACAGAGCCTTAGGAGTCACTCTGCACATGCTTAGATTGGTGTGTATGGCTAGAGTTGTTTTGTCCCTGGGAGGGTGTGTGTGTGATCAGCATAGCACCAATCGGCACTGTCCAGACAGAGGGTCACGGGTCATGCAGCCTCATAGGACAGTCAGAGCAGAATGAAAACTCCTCCTGTAAACTTTAACCAGTGCTCTGCTGGACACTGATAGAAGTCATAGGACTGCTCTGTTGATGAGAAAAGGTACTTGGCGGTTTATATTTACTAAAATAATTGCATTTCCATGTTGTGTGTACTGTGGGAGACCAGATATAGTGAAAGCAGGGTCCTGGGTTTAGTAACAATTTAAGCTGAATTTTTTCCAGGTAAACTCCGCTTCACTGTTTTTCCTGGAAGAAATTTATAAGAAATATTGGAAGTGCCATCGCTTATTTTTCTGTTTCGATACATTTTTATGAAAAAATGGTGAATAGTAAACAAAGAATAGCAGAGGCTATGCACATTACAGGGTGTGAGGCATTCATACAGTGGTCAATGATTGTCTAGTGGCATAATGCATTTCCATGTTATGTGGGAGACCAGATATAGTGAATGCAGGCTCCTGGGTTTAGTAACACTTTAAAGTAGCATCCCAGTCAAATCCTAACTATACCTAAACCTGCTTCCACCCCATTCTAAGCCTGTTCTATCTACCCAGTAAAGATGTATATACTTACCTATTCAGTCCAGTCAAATGATTTGTACCCATTGCCAACTTCACTGTTGAGGGACAGCCATCATAGCCTACGGGTGACGTCACCGCATGGGCTCTACAGCTGTTGTCGGTGATCTCTCCTTTTTCGCTGAAGCTGGCCATTGGAGAGATCATGTGAATGGACTGGAGTGCCTTCAGCTTAAGTAAGTATAGCCATCTTTCCTTTAGGCTACTTTCACACTGATCTATGGCTTAAACGCTTGTGTTTTTGATGAGATTTTACCACATTTACAGTGTTTTTTGCAGGACGTGTGACTCAAAAATGTAACACATGCATTTTTGCTGCATTTTACATTTCTTTCAATGGAGGGGTGCATTTTTGATGCAGAAATGGCCTGGTCATGAAAGGGGGTGTAAATCTTCCCGAGGGCAAGTGGCTAACACAAAAAGCAGAAGAAAAATGGATCCGTGTGAAAGCAGCCTTACAGGGCAGTTAGAATAGGCTTAGAATGGGTCTGGGAGCAGGTTTTAGGTTTAGCTAGAATTTGAGTGGATTACTACTTTTAAAGTAGTATTAAACTCAAAATGATAAATGTCATATATTGCAGTTTAACAATCAGATGTGGTGGCTGCATTATCTTCTTAGGCTTTCATCTGTCCAATGATTTGCCCTCCTGTATTAGATGTACTAGCAGATTTAAATACACTTCAGACTTTCCAAACAAAGGGCCAGTTTATTGTGCTTTAGACGGTCCAGACTGTGTTCAGTGGGAGTACAAAATGCCTCGGTGTCAGTGGGAGTACATAATGTCCCAGAAATGGTGGTCAGTTGGTGTAGGAATCGTGCCCCATGTTTGGTGTCACTGGGAGGAATAGTGCCACAGCGTTGGTGTCATTGGGAGGAATAGTGTTTCATCATAGAAGAGAGTGGAAGGAATAGTGCCCTAAGGGCCAGAAAAATGCAAGCAAAGGGCTGCATCCGGCCTGCGAGCCACAGTTTGGAGAGCACTGAAATAAATTAAGCTAACAAATTAAAGGCAAACTCCAGCTAACACTCTGTTGGCAGTTACTGCATTTTTTAGCTTTTGAAATAAAGATTTTATATAAATAAAAGCTGATCATGTAAGCACCCCTGTCAGTGGTAAATTGTTTCATCCCTTTAAACTGATACATCTGGAAAAGGTTGTTCTTTTGAAAAACAGATTTACTGGCCAGTTCACCAAGTTAAAATAAAAGAAAGGAAGCCTAAAAAGAAAACCAAAGCAGCCATCACATCCAAGAATTGGTAAGCTGCAATATGTTTTGCTTTTGGGTTTAACAACGCTTTAAATTGGACAGTGCAGTCTCTAGCCAGTCTGTTAGCTTGAAGGAGGGAAGAGTGGGATGGGGGAAAGGTGCTTTTCCATTCTAGGTTATGGGGCTGTGTTTCTGTTGATGCACACAGTGTAGGGAGACACAACTCTAGTCTCTGCATGCACGGCTGGCTCCATAGGACACTGCAAAAGAAAGGAACCACCCTGAAAAAGGAAACTTGTGGCAGCGGTCATGTCACCAGTTTAAAGTGGATTATAACATTGAAGGGTAAAGCAACTCCATATTTGACAAGTGGTTAAAGAGAAGCTTCAGTCTCCCCACCAAAAATTAAGTTAGCAGCTACAAATACTTTAGCTGCTGACTTAATAAAAGGACACTTACCAGTCCACGGATCCAGCGCTGTCCTTGCATAGACTGGTTTTTGACCAGTCTTCATGTCCCTAGCCCCAACATTTTAGGTAAGGGAAACCGGCTGTGATGTGCGATCCGTGCTTTGTGTAATCCCATAGTGTTCTGGGACCTGTGATGTGTCCCAGATGGCCGCTCGGATGGCCTAGGCGATATGTGCAGGTACCGGTCAAAACCAGGTAAGCTACTCGGCATAACATCACTATTATATTGTGTTTGTGCACTAAAATTCATTAAAGTGTGGTTTTTTTTTTTTTTTCTCCCAAAAAAATTTGTTTTGAAAAACCGCTGCGCAAATACCATGTGACATACAAAATTGCGCCATCCACCATTTTATTCTCTAGTCTAGGGCCTAAAAAAAAAATTATATATATAATTCTGTTTTGGGGGGGTTCAAAGTCTTTTTCTAGCAAAAAACTTTAACATGTTGGAGCGAAATGTCAGAATTGGCCTGGGTGGGAAGTGGTTAAAAAAAACCTGAAGATTTAATATCCTTTTAAAGTATTTCAGATGTTTACTTGCAGCATTTTCCATAAATTTATTTTTTTTTTTTCTTCAATTGACATGTGCCTCTGAACATTTCCTTCTCTTCTGGGAGTATCTGCCCCTCCTTTTGCTCCTCTGCACCTCCTTTTATTTCCCTACATAACATTTTATGTAGCTGCTGTGGGGAGGAAAAAAGAAATATTTAGCAATGGTCAACGTTCACAATATGTAGGGTCCTGTGTGCAGCCCTTTACATCACCAAAGGGATGCACATAATGTTTAGGGGTTGTAATGCTACAGAAAGCTGTCAGACTGCAGACATGCTACAGGAGAGGGCCAGAGACTGTGAACATGCTATAGGGGTGGTTGGTGACTGGGAACATGCATCAGGAGAGGGATCAATGCTAATACAGCCACTTAAATATTCAGTGCTTTCCTTTATGTTCCTGTATAATAGACTTATTAAAGAGTTTCATGAGTATACAGAGAATTTTAAAGGTAGACAGAAGTTATATATGGGCAGTACAATTGTGAAAGCTGTTGGGTAGTATTGACAAATGTAAAAACAGAGGTATTGCTGTTTGTAAGGTGTTGCTTATTGAAAAAGGAGGGGGGGGGAGTAGACCAGATAGAGGTCCTGAGATAGACTCAATGGGAGTAATGAAAATGCTGCCGCATTTTTAATTGTCATTTGT